GCACCTTAGAGATGTGTTGCCAGGTGGAGAGCCTATTGGCTGAAACCGTTCTTAGATCATATTCCGGCAGAGTTGATAACGGTTTGCCGGTCAGATAATGAGCCGGAGACAGTACTAATAAGTCGTTTGGATCTGACGATATGGAGGTAATGGGTCTAGAATTAAGGATACCTTCGATTTCTATCGTAAATGTGTTTAGCTCTTCAAAGGTGAATAATGAATCTCCGATTACGCGCTTGAAATGATGTTTAAACACCTTCACGGTGGATTCCCAAAGCCCGCCGAAATGGGGAGCTGCCGGCGGAATGAAGTGCCAGGTGATCCGACGTTCACTCGCGAACTTATTAACTAAATCTTTATGTTCTTCTGAATTGACGAGAACGTATAGCTCTTTAAGTTGATTATTCGCGCCTACAAAATTAGTGCCGTTGTCGGAATAAATGTGCTCTGGTAACCCTCGTCTAGCGATGAATCGACGCAACGCCGCGAGGAACCCCTCCGAGGTTAAGTCGCTCACGATTTCGAGGTGTACGGCCTTAATCGCCATACATACGAACACGCATACGTACACCTTGATTCGTGTTCGATTGCGGAATTTTTTTTCTTTAATGAAAAAAGGGCCGCAAAAATCAATACCTGTGTTAGTGAATGGAGTGGCCGGCCGTATGCGAACCGCTGGGAGGTCTCCCATTTTGTGTTTAATTGCGCCGGCGTCGAATCGAAAGCATTTCACGCATGATCGTATGATTTTTCTTACTTGATTTCGACCGTCGGGTAGCCAAAATTTTTGCCGAAGAATGTATAGGGTTGTTTGTATGCCAGCGTGATATTGACTCTCATGAATTTCTCGAATGATGATATCGGTTAGTTGGTGTCTGTTTGGAAGTAAAATCGGATGTTTTTGAGCAAATGGGAGAGCTGACATTCGGAGACGCCCCCCGACGCGAATCAAACCGAAATCATCCAGGAACGGATTTAAATTAATGAGTTTGCCTTTCCTCAGCGATCCCGTGCTCAATTGTTCGATCTCCTCCGGAAATCGGACGGCCTGAATTATTTTCAACACCCGCATTTCCGCCTCGTTTATTTCGTCTGCGCCCAAAAATTCGCGATGTTTATTATTCAGGCGAAACCGAAGACAGTACGCAACGACTCTAAGTAGTTTCTGATAGGACGAGTATCTATAAACAATGTCGAAATCGTTCTGTGCAGTTATGAAGCACGCGTTCTTTTTTAATTCCGGTATTTCGATTGCTTGTGTGATTTCATTGGGCCACTCATGTTCTTCGTCAACGAGCCACGAGGGCCCCGTGTACCATGTCTGATTTTTCATAAATTCTTGAGGAGTTTGCCCTCTAGATATCGCGTCGGCAGGGTTACTTGCCGTTCTGACGTGTCGCCATTTATGATTCCCCGTGGATTCTCGAACGCTCACTACTCGATTCGCTACGAACGTTTTCAATAAATGCGGAGGTGTATTTAGCCAGTGCAGTACGATGGTGGAGTCACACCAAAAAATGGTCTTATTAATGTTCATGCTCAATGTACCGATTATTTCGCCGTATAATTGAGCCAAAACTAATGCACCGCAAAGTTCGAGACGCGGAATAGTGAGCGTTTTCAACGGCGCGACTCGCGATTTGGCGCATAACAACCTGACGAGCACATTTCCGGCTTCGTTGCGCGAGCGCACGTATATACATGCCCCGTATCCGACGGTGCTCGCATCGCAAAAACCGTGCAGTTCTATATCATGATAGCCCGTAATCAGTAATTTGCGTTCGAAATAAACTTGACCTATCGATTCCCATTGTCTTGCGAATTCTAGCCACGCGGTATGAATGCTCTGTGGAACCGATTCGTCCCACTGTAAATTGCATCGCCAAACGTCCTGCATAAGTTTTTTCATATACGAAATAATCGGACCTAACAATCCCAGTGGATCGAAAATTTTTGCTATTTCGGAAAGAATAATTCTTTTTGTTATTCTATTTGACCTTCTAATTGAATTGGCTGAATAACATATTGTATCATCGCGTGCGTTCCACACTATGCCCAATGTTCTCAAAGCGCGATCTGCATTTAACGTGAAGTTTGCGTGTAACGCGTTGGAAGCCAAGTCGTTAATCACGCATTCGTTATTTGACGCCCATTGTCTGATGACAAACCCTCCCCGAGCTAATAACTCGATAGTTTCATCTCTGACGGCCCGGGCTTCTTCGATTGTTTCCGCGCCGGTCAACAAGTCGTCGACATATAAATGAGATTTGAGAACATTGGCTGCTCTAGGATACACGAGGGCTTCATCGTCCGCGAGCCTTTGAATGGTGCGGATGGCTAAAAATGGTGACGACGCTATGCCGAACGTGAGTGTATTTAGTTGAAATGTTTTTATTTGACCGTTTCTGCGCCACAAAACGCGCTGGTACCGCCGGTCATCCTCGTGTAACCACACTTGGCGATACATTTTTTCAATGTCGGCGGTAATCACGTAATTGTATGTACGGAATCGGATTAAATGTGAGAATAGTCCGGCTTGGATAGTCGGACCCACCAT